TCCCCAGATGAATGCAATCTTTCTATGTCTATCCCTTTCTTTCTGAGTCATTTCGCTTAACATGATATTTTCCATGTAGTACCACTTGTATGTGAATTTCGTGACTTCGTCTTTTCTAACAGCTACATAGTACTCCATTGTGTAAATGTACCAAAGTTTCTTTAACCAGTCATCTGTTCTCGGGCACTCAGGTTTTTTCCAGATTCTGGCTATTGTAAAGAGTGCTGCAATAAACAGGCAATTGCAGATGTCACTTCGACTATACTATTTTGCCTCTCTGGGATATATTCCCAGGAGTGGTATTGCTGGATCAAATGGGAGCTCAATTTCTAATTTTTTGAGAATAAACCATACTGTTTTCCAAAAGGGCTGAACCAGTTGGCATTCCCACCAACAGTGAAGGAGTATCCCTTTCTCACCACATCCTCGCCAGCACCGGTTGCTTTTGTTCTTGTGGATATGGGCCAGTCTCTGTGGTGTGAAGTGATATCTCATTGTGGTTTTGATCTGCATCTCCCTGATGATTAATGATGTGGAACATTTTCTCATGTGCCTTTTAGCCATTCGGATTTCTTCTTTGTGAAAGTTTCTATTCATTTCATCTCCCCATTTTTTGATGGGGTTGAATGTTTTCTTTTTGTGGAGTTGAACCAGTACTTTGTATATCCTTGAAATTAACCCCTTATCAGATGTGTAGTTGGCGAATATCCTTTCCCATTCTGTAGACTGTCTTTGGTCACTGTTTCTTTTGAGGTGCAGAAGCTTCTTAGTTTAAGATAGTCCCATTTGTCTATCTCTGTTTTCACTTGCTTGGTCAGCGGTGTGACATCTTTGAAGACACCATTAGCTTCTATGTCATGAAGGGTTTTGCCAACATTTTCCTCAATGTATCTTATAGATTCTGGTCTGATGTTGAGGTCTTTAATCCACTTAGATCTTACTTTTGTACATGGAGTTAGGCAGAGATCTGAGCCCATTTTTTTTGCATGTAGCCATCCAGTTTTGCCAGCATAATTTGTGAAGTCTTTAGTCTTTAAGTCGATTATTTTCAGTTTGTTTTCTGATCCAGACCCAGCGGTGCTCTGGAGCTGCTCCCTGCTCAGTGCTCAGAGGTTGGTCCCAGCAGTGCTTAAGGGTCCATATGGTGCTGGCCCAAGAACTGCACTGCACTCCAGCTCCTGGAGCCAGCTCTGGGCCCCTTGCTTTGCTATTTAGCACCCTTTCACTAGAGCTGTAGGCAGCCAGGCATCATGACATTGTGTGGAATGAAGTATCTTCCAGAGTGATATCTCTTAACAGGGCACCTGGTTGTTCTTCAGGGTATCCTGTGCTCTTCTAGCTCAAGAGCGGGATGAGTCCAGTTTCTGGCAGTAAAGCTGGGCAGGAACATGACTTTGTAAAACCGAGAAGCCAATTCTCCCAAATTAACTCCCTCCCCAGCTGACTGATGTCAACACAGACTTTCCGGGCCCCATAATCACAGGCTTCAGGGAGGTTGGAGGGGAGGGGGTGGGGAGGGAACGGGTGTTCTCAGGGCCACTTGAGTCTCAATCAGAGAGTGAAAGGAAATAAATATTCAGCCTCAATCCTAGAGGTGGCCTGACCACACTGGGTTCACCGCTGGTTGGCCTCGAGCTTTGCCGTGAAGATGGAACTGAGTGTTGTAGGACCTTGCCCCCAACCCTCCATCCCCTGTTTGTTTGTTGATATGAAATCAGAGAGGGAAATAGTTGAGTCAAATTCAAGACCATTGCTTTCCTTTTCTTTCTCTGGAGTCCTGAATTAGAGAATGGGAGGGCACTTACCTGGGGTTTCACAAGTTAAGATAATGAATGTCTAGGTGGGGGTCTCTCGCCATCCTGATGGGCACAGACTGAAGGGTCTGAGGAAGATAATTTCCTGGAGGACACTGCTCTCCTTCTCCCTGCCTGGCAGCTCTGGGAAGCCTGGCATGGAGAAGCTGGCAAACTTTCCAAAGCAGTAGGCACATGCTGGCATTCCGTGTGTGCAACCGTGCACTCTATCATGGCTGTGCGTTCCTGCTGCCCTTCACACATCCATGCATCCACGCTGCTGTGTGTACAGGACGTTCTATCCCTGCACAGTGTGAAGAGATCTGCCAGGGATGAGGACTCCTGAAGAACTCTCCCACCCCAAATCACTCAGTCTGCCCTCTTTCTGTGTGTACCCCCAAGCCCCACCCACCACCACCATCCTGGCGAACATCTGTATCTCTGTCAGAATCAGATTTCTAGCTCTTCAGTGGACTTAAAGATCTTCTGCCACATCCCTGCCTTTCAGAGAAAGTCAGAAGAGTTCCAGCAACTTGCCCCAAATGATGCCTCTGTGTATACTATGTATAACCTGGGCAAGAACTCAGGCTGTTAAATTCACTGTCAGACATTCTTTTCATTATGCTATCAGCAGCTACTCAGATATTGGCTTCCTTCCCATCCCTTTTCGAGATAGTGACAGATACCACAAAGCAATTAAATGCCTGTGTCACAGACGGGGAGGGGGGAGTGCAAGGGGGGGGGGGGGGGACGACGGACAAATCTTCCTAGGGCTAGGGAGACAGCTCAGTGGGTTGGAGCACAAGCCTGGCCTGCTCTGAACTTGAAGGTATGCTCTCCCACCTGCCAGGTGTGGCTCTGAGGACCTCACTTTCACAGGGATGATCAGCACCTCACTGCATGGCCCTAGCACTGAGCTCTCAGGCCTACACTGCTGGGAGAGCACTGAGAAGTATTTTATAGTATGTCTGAGACTAAAAAACACTTATTCAAGTGCTATGAACCTATATTTTGCCAAGAGCTATTAATGATCAGAAGAGGGCACATAATCCCTAACTTCTGAAAATTTTACTTATTTATTTATTTTGTGGGGGACAGTGGAGCCATTGGATCATACCTACTGGTGATGCTTAGAGCTGACTTCTGGTTCTGAGCTCAGGAATCATGGTTGGTGGTTTTTGGGAGACCATCTGGGATACCAAGGAATTGAACTTGGGTAGGCTGCTTGCAAGAAAAAGGTTCTATTGGTTACACCATCTCACTGGCCTCACTTTTTGTAATTTTTTTTAAATATATGGGGGAGACAGGCATGTTTATTTAGCTTCTGGTCACTTGGGACCTCTGGAACCATCTTTATTTTTCTTAATTGAAAACTTTTTTGAGGATATGTTGGTTTGCAAGATTCTAAATTCACTATTTTCTGTTTGAGGAGTATAGTATTCCCACCATAAGCCCTTCAGAAAAGTCTTCTGGGACCTCTTTAAATGCATCTACAAGTAGTGTTACCCAAACCCTGCCCTTCCTCTGTAACTTTTACCTCCTTTAAGTCTTATTTTGTTCATATTTCTCAAGCATTTACTGGGAAAGTTATTTATGAACAATAGCAAAACTCACAAAGAAGTGAAAGATTGATCGTGTTACTGTTTTCCAGATGCGGGGGAGCTGGGACTCAGCAAACCTCCATGACTTGTCGAGGATTGTTCTGTTCCTCAGTTGGTGGTAGATGGGCAAAGTCTTGCAGCTGCTGGGGCTGAAGTCATGGGCCATAAGCTTCCTTTCTGTCCTTGAAAATGAGAGTGTAAAGCATAATATGGAAAAAAGTAAATAGAGCAAAATATACTTGCTGAATGCGACAGTTTTGGGACTGGACAGATAGTCCTTGCCTCACACAGCCAACTTGTCTTTGATTCCCAGCACCCCAGATGGTCCCTTGAGAATACCCAGGAGTGATCCCAGAGCTCAGGGCCAGGAGTAAGCCCTGAGCACTGATGGATATGACCTAAAAGAGAAAACCAAAATGACCCCATAAAAACAAACCCAAAAAATAAATTTTTATCACTATGCAGTCAGGAGACATTGAGTTCACTGATTATGCTGTGGGTTTTTTCTCCAGCTGTGTGGGCCCTCTGGGATGGAGAGAGCCACAAACCCGGGGCTAACTGGGCCAGGCTCAATCATGCTCTCTGTGTTTAATTCACTGTTTATTTGCCTAAACACTGCACCGGCATAAGCATAAATTTACCAAGAACATTAAATCTCAGGATTACCTTAAATAAAATAAATTTAGCACCCAAAATTGCTAACAAAATAAATAAATAAACCAAGTTTCCGGTTCCCCAGGTCTTAGAAAGTGGGGTAATGAGACAGCACGTTGATGGTGGCTAGATCTTGTCTTCTTATTTCTGACATTAGATTTGAGGACAGAGTTGTGTGCTAGAACCCAGGTTCTTGTCAGACCTGAGCCATTTGACAGATGGGGAGTGTGGCCATCGCTTAGTTAACTCAGTACAGTGCTCCCGCCACCTCCACCCCCGAATCTCTCTCCTATGACTGCTCGGGGCACAGTGGGATCCTGTCACCTTGTGTGTGTGTGTGTTTTTTTTGGGGGGGGGGGGGTTGGGCAAAGCGCAGCAGAGAGTTGACATATCTACCCACAGGTAAAAACAAGTCATTTCAAACATTTCACCTGTTCCCACATTGTAGTAGTCACCAAGATTGTGCAAAATAAAGCTTATAAGTTTTCAGCCAGGAAGAAGAGGGCACATGGGAGACCAAGATAAAATTGATGACAGTCTCTGGAAACGTGTGCTGGGGTGGAGGGTGAAAGTGCAGGCCATGCTCAGGTTGGGCACCAGAGTGTGAAAACCACGACATTCTCAAGCCTGCCACTGCTACTTGCTGCTTGCTTTCATTCATGTTTCATCGGAAAAGGTTTTTAAGGCAGATGGCATTATTTTGAAGTGAAAAATAATATATATCTCCTTTGGATTTGAGATTTGACAAGAATTTTAAGGTGTAGTGACAACTGGAGTCTGTGTGTGTTTGGAAAGGGCAGTGACGAGGATGAAGGAAAGATGTTCTCACTTCTTCTAGGATATGATGAATTATAAGCCACAATCCCCCTTTCTCTCTCTCTCTATGTTGTTTTACTTCCTACTTATTTAACCTTATTTAATAAGTAGATTTTCCCTCCAAAATGTGTTTCAGGGCTCTGCTAGCATCTCAAATGCAACCAACATTTGCCAGGACTGTTTTTCCTTGTTTTGATGAACCAGCCCTGAAGGCAACTTTTAATATTACAGTAATTCACCATCCACATTATAACGCCCTTTCCAACATGCCAAAGTGTGGTAAGTAATATTTTCTGTAATCTCAACCCTCACAGATATTTTTATATAATAATTACCTACACTTAGCTATGTAATATCTTTCCTAGGCAACGTGTCAGTAGTGCATTATGATTAGGAACAACAGCCCCATGGGGTAGGCTGAGGCATCTATGTGTGGGAGCCAGTAGATTTGGGTTCTCTTTCTATTCAAAGTAGGGCTACACTGACATTCTGGCTGCACATAAGTTGTGGCTTCAACTGTTGATCAACAGTGATAACAAGCTCGTGGACTTAGTCTGAATCTGGTGCACAGATGTGTTTTATTTGGCCCGCATGGCTTTTTTCCCTCACTTAATTCAATTTGCACCATGCTTTTTAAAATCCAGAGATTTCCCATAAAAATCAAGATGTTGGCTTCTCTGAACACTCACAGAGACCTGATGACGCCAGACCTATAGGTCCTTCCTGAGATGGTTGGTGGTGGCTGTGCAGAGGCTGCCCCTGACCTCTGTGGCCCTAGCCCTAGAACCCTAGCACTGTGTGCTAGTATTCGTGGTCCATTTCCTAGCAAGCTCCTAGCCCTTAGGATGGGTGATTTCAGCTTTAAATGCCCTTACTCTGCCTCTTCTGAAGACCTTGCTGAATCTGAGGAGGGCAGGACTGTCTTTGTCCATTGCCTGGGAAGTTGGGAGTTCAGTGAATTCATGAGACATGGGTCAGACTTGTAACTAGTAGAAGGGGGTGACTTGTGGGCCTCATCTTATAGCACAAGTGGATTTGGCCTTCAGTCAAGAATTTATTACTCAAGATACTAATTTAGGAGCCAGATGCTGTCTTTCCATCTCCTTAGGATGGTTTTGCTAACTTTGAAAGAGAGAAATCCAAAATACTTGGCTTTGGGAAGGAGCTGGGAAGAAGTGGCTGGATGCCAGTCAACTTGATGGATTCCTTCGAAAGATGGTATGATGCTTAGATCTATAGTGATTCGGATCCAAATTCTTCTCTCTAGGTCAGTCCGAAAAGGAAGATGTGAATGGAAGCAAGTGGACTGTTACCACATTTGACACCACACCCCGCATGCCAACGTACTTAGTTGCCCTCGCTATATGTGACTTTGACCATATTAGTAGAACAGAAAGGGGCAAAGAGGTGAGTGTGAAAGGCTCTACAGGTAAGGGCTCACTCACGTGGGCTACAGATATTATATTCTCTTCTCCTGAACCCTGGGCTTATGCCTACACCTTCCACGGCATCACCTGTTTCTCTGAGTGCTGCAGAATGAAACCCAACCACCTGCTGTGGCATTGTGGGAGGGGTTTCCATGGGAAGATTACCCAGCTTGGCAGGTTCTTGGGCTCACCTCTAACCAACCATCCAGGTACTGTGTCTCAGAGGAGAGTAGAGAACAAGTTGCTACTAGGGCACCTAGAAGCTCAGGCTGATCTGTGTTTTGCCTGGTCTGCAGGGTTAATGCAGGCTGGCCTCTGGGCTAATTCTCAGAATGGGGCAGAGAGCAATTGCCCAAGTCCCTCAATGTCCCAAATTGCCCAGTTTTCACCCAGATATGCCCTCATTGCATAGTTACTCTTTAAGGAATTATCAAGGTGAGTGGTAATTCAGGCTTCCTCCCTAGAAGAGAGGGAGAGAAGAGAGAGAGTGGGGTAAGGCAGCCTTCAGTCCTTCCTACAATCAGAGCAGCCTCACTGGGCTTAGGAAAGACCAGACCATACAGCTCAGAGCACCCTCTTGGCCTAGAGATTTTCCATGGTCAGACCACTGACAACAGGGACAGGAAGGCTGTGGTGAACCAATCCTATGACCAGAAGAAGAATACCTCAAAGCTGCTCTTCCTGCTTCCCTCCAAACCTCATGACAGACGCCGTGTTGGGTGCAAACAGCAGCTTATCGATGATCTTCCTCAGCTCTTGGCTCCAACCTGATTTTCTTTCTTGAATCATCATGGAATGGTCCTTGAGATTCAGAGGGACAACACAGGCTAGACCATACATTCTTGGTCTATGCTGATAAGATTGTCCAGGCAGGCCTTGGACGTCAGTGCTCTCACTCCAGCATTGAAGGAGGAACCAGTGAGTTAGCCTTGGGTGGCCATCAGCACCCACATATTCAGGGGCCTGTTGCTCTTCATGAACAAAAGTCTTACCAAAAGGACTGAGCCCATATCTGCATGAAAGTTCACAGCAAAAGATCACCCTGAAAGGGAAACCAGCAGTCCTGGGGGCAGGGAAGAAATGGAGCGAGCCTGAGAAAGGAATGATCTTAGCCAGAAAATGGACATTCGGGAGGAGTGTATCAGCAGGATGTTGTGTTTGGCTAGGGCACAGCTCTGGAAGTGCGGAAGTCCACCATATAGTCTACAGGGGCACTAGAGAGTGCCCTTGGGCCGGTGTCCAGCCTGTATTGACTTTCCTCATTAAGTCAGAGATAAAACGAAATCCAGCATGGGGTTCGTGTGTGGCACGAAGCTAAGCAGAGGGAGCGTATGGTTGTTGCATGAGGCAAGTGTCCCACACAGGGCCACATGGAAAGAGGGACCCCTTGATCTGGTAGCTCACATGGTGAAGTCACCTGTGTCTTGGGAACCACTGGAGCACACAGGTGGATTCAATGTGATTTTCTAGGCTTGATCTCTCAAATATTCCTGCTGACTTTGGTTTTTCACTGCTGTGTTAGGAATCAAAGGCCTTTCCCACCCTGCTCCATATTTAACCTCATGTTGGGGGGTTCATAGTGGTTTGGGAGGAAAAGCCTTATCAACTGAGGTTGTAGTGATAGTGATTGCCATGGCTGTTTTTCCTTTGTTACCCAAAAGGCAGCAGTTCCAAAGCACACGTGTCTTGAGAGTGGGGAGAGCTATTATTTCTTCTCAGTAGGATGGGCTTGGGTTGAGCAGTTCTCCTAACTGTTGCCTCAGATCTAGATCTAGAGGAGGATGGGTGTGTTTATTGGGGCAGGACCAAGTGCTAGGCCCTTCTTTTTCAGAATGGTGATGCTCTGGGGGGTGGGGAGTGCTGAAAGGAATGAGGAAATCCAGGCAGGAGACTTGAAAAACAGGTGGTTGCGCTTTGTGAAAGGGGAACATTCCTGAAGACTTCACGTAATCCAGCATTCACATAATGCAAGACAAATTTTTTCCAGCAGAAATAAGAGCAAAGGAAAGGGAAATGTGCATTAGGAGCAGAAAAATCTGCAACTACTGTGATGCTTTTTCATTTTCATAGTATTTTCGACAACGTTTTGCAGAGTTTGTGCTTCATTAGATCAATTGTATTAATTACCTCACCTCTAACTTTTGTGCCAAAGCTGCTGATGCTCTTTAACACCAACATTTTTGCATCAACATTAATGACTCTATTGGAAAGTGCTTCCATGGAAGAGAGGGTATGATGTGGCTTCATAGTAAAATATCAGGGAGAGCCGGGAGGTAGCTCAATGGGCTCTAAGTCATGATTTGTATCCTGGAGGTTCAGCTTTGGTCCCAGGGTCCCCCAAGCACTGCCTGGAGTGAGTCCCCAAGCATCTAGGTGGGAGTAGTCCCTGAGCGTAGCCAGATGTGTATACCACATTATATATATATATATATATATATATATATATATATATATATATATAATGGGCTGGAGCGATAGCACAGTGGTAGGGCGTTTGCCTTGCACGCAACCAGCATGGCTGATTGAAGTTCGATTCCTCCGCCCCTCTCGGAGAGCCCGGCAAGCTACCGAGAGTATCTCGCCCGCACAGGCAGAGGCTGGCAAGCTCCCCGTGTTGTATTCGATATGCCAAACACAGTAACAACAAAGTCTCCAATGGAGACGTTACTGGGCCCGCTCGAGCAAATCGATGATCAATGGGAGGGCCTTTACTTTATTAAATGGGCTGGAGCGATAGCACAGCGGTAGGGCGTTTGCCTTGCACGCAGCCAACATGGCCAACCCGAGTTCGATTCCTCCGCCCCTCTCGGAGAGCCCGGCAAGCTACGGAGAGTATGTCCCCCGCACGGCAGAGCCTGGCAAGCTCCCCATGATGTATTCGATATATTCGATATGCCAGACACAGTAATAACAAAGTCTCCAATGGAGATGCTACTGGCCCCGCTCGAGCAAATCGATGATCAACAGGAGGTCCTTTACTTTTACTTTACTTTTATATATTAAATATATAATTCCAAAACTACACAAATTCCTTAATATCCAAATAATGGCATAGTTGCTTTAAGTCTGGTAAAACCTGCCAGATTTCCTTTGCTATGAAGATGGATGGAGTTTTCATCAACAGAACATGTAAATTACTTGCTTCCATACCTTTTGTAAAATCAGAAGACTTTTGATGTTTTTTTAGACTTTTGAAAATCAGACTTTTGATGTTGTTTTTGAAGATTTTTGTTTTTTTTTAATTAAAAAATTATGTTTTTAGGTCACACCCAGTGCTCAGAGGTTACTGCTGGCTCTGCACTCAGGAATTACTCCTGGCAGTGCTCTGGGGATCATATGGGATGCTGGGGATCAAACCCAGGTCAGCTGGGTGCAAGGCAAATGCCCTACCCATTGTACTATCTCTCCAGTCCCTGTTTTGTTTTTCTAAATTAGGTAAATGGAGGGCCGGAGATGTAGCACAGTAGGCAAGGCTCTTACTTTGCACGTAGCCAACCTGGATTTGATCCCTGCTACCTCTTAGCTGAGCCTTGCCAGGAGTGATCCCTGAGCATAGAATCAGTGGTCATTTAGCATCACTGGGTGTGCCCTCTTCCCTCACCCCCAGTTAGAAAAAACAAAAAATGGGGCTGGAGAGAGAGAGAACAGAGACAGAGACAGAGAGAGACAGAGACAGAGAGACAGAGAATGTACAGCAGGGAAAGTGCTTGTCTTGTAAGTGGCTGGCCTGAGTTTGATCCCAGCAATCCATATGGTCCCCCAAGCACTGCCAGGAGTAACCCCAGAATGCAGAGCCAGGAGTAATCCTTGAGCACCTCTGGGTGCCCTCACCCCCACACAATTAAATAAATTTCATGGAATAAAATGTTTTCAAACTTTAAGAATAAGAGGGGGACTGCTGTTGTTTTCATTAGAGACATTTTAATTGGCGTGAGTCGGGCTTGTTTAACACGAACCAGACTGTGTGACCCCACCAACAGCCCAGTCCTGTTTCCCGTCACTCAAATCTGTGCTGAAAAGAGAAACAACATTCGAGGACCCCTTATCCCCTAACATGGACTACATTTTCTGGGCCACTCAGGAGGGGAGGAGGTGCACATCATTTCTAGAACTGTCTTTGAAGCACCAAGTTTTCACATACCATCACAGAGGATCGAAGTAACCATTCTTCACACTTTAGTGACTGACCAGCTGGGGTTCTCTACATGCATGTCTGCATTGATACCCTTGATTATTCAGCTACTAAAAGACTCAGACTTTGGCCCCAGAACATCAGGAAAATGAGCCTGTGGCCCTTTCCAAAGGTCTAACCACTGCTGCTAATCACTGCTCAATTGTTTTGATTTTTAGATCCGCATCTGGGCCCGGAAAGATGCCATCACTCATGGAGACGCAGACTTTGCTTTAAATATCACAGGTCCTGTCTTCTCATTCCTGGAGGATTTATTTAATATTAGTTACCTTCTCCCAAAGACAGGTGAGAAACAAAACAATTGGTGAGGTGCCTTTCCTTTCCATACTGTTGCTCAACTGTTGACCACCATGGGACCCTGGTCTGAGATCAGCGATATTCAGCCCACTGTTCGCATTTCACAGCAGTTGGGAGTCAGCCCTGCTGGCCTCCTAGCCCATGTGCTGTCCTCCAGGAGGGCCGTGCACTCCCCAAACTCAGGTATCTCCCCAGGCCTCCTGTGCTGCCTTGCATCCTCCAGTTCTGTCCTTTGCTCTCAGAACCCAAGTGTGCAGGGGCAAATTCTGGGTTCTCTTAGCAGGCCTGTGTGAGTTATTCCAGTTCCCTTTAGCAAGTGTTTTGGTGAGTTGTTTTGTTTCTTTGACTGTTCTTTAGCAATGAGTCACGAGATTAGGACTTGGGGGTCCCATCCGTGAGTTTTTGTTGTATAAAATTGGAATCACGTATGAACATAGTATGATCCTTGTGGAAATATGTAAACATTTTACCTCTCCTAGATTTGTTTGGTGTAGTTTAAAAATTGTGCTCTGAAAACTGTATAGAGTGTTTCTAAGTAGAAGGAGTCCTGGGCATGGATTTTGTTTCTGCTGCTTCATCAGCTAAATTTGGGGAATGGATGCTCTCCTTATACTGGCAGGTGATGGGGAGAGGTTGTGGAGTGTACATCTTGGGACTTAGACCTCCAAACGGGCAGGGATCCAGGAGCCTTCACCTTGGGCCATTTGGCTGAGGACAAGGAAAAGAAGAAATGGGAACCAAGCTGGGCCCATTCTGGAACCCAGAGGCACTTCCTGTGACTTAGGAATTTGGAGGCAGCCTGTGGTTGTAGACCTCACTTCTTTGTCTAGAAGATGCCAAGCTGGCTCTTGTCTGGACAAAAGAAATTCCACACAGGGAGAAGTCCAGAATGATCCCAGATATCCTTTCCTATCCACTGAGCAACATGTCTTCTCTGTCCAACTGTATCTTCCCATGCCCTCGCTCCTCTTGTCTGTCTCCTGACCACACTCCCATCCTGGGCCTCATCATTCTGCTCTACTGTTCCTCTGATTCATTTTCAACCCAAAGAATCTTTCCGAAGCAACGCCTGATTGGGCCATACTTCCATGACTTCCTGCTGCTCTGAGGATAATATCCAGATTCCATACCCTGTTTTAGCACCGTGTGTCTCTTGCCTGCCTCTCTTGGGATTCTGAAGAGTTCCTCCGAGTGCTTTAGTGTATTTGTTTCCACTCACATCTTTCTCTCCTCTCCAGGCTTGCATGCAGTTTGCACATCTGGGAATGCCTTCAACTATCTCTCTCTCTCTCTGTCTCTCTCTCTCTTTCTCTCTCTCTGTCTGTCTCTCTCTCCCTCCCATCTCCCTCTCACTTTCTTTCCTTTCTTTTCTCTTTCCTTTTTATTCTCCACTCCTCCTGCCCCCTCTCCCCCGCCCTCCTTCCCTCTCTTCTTTCCTTCCTTTCTTCTCCTCTTCCTTCTTTTCCCCCTCCCTCTCCTCTTCTTTCCTCCCCCTCCCTCCTTCCCTCTCCCTTCCACTCTCTTCCCTCTCCTCTTCTTTCTTTCACTCTTCCTTTCCTTTCTTCTTTTCTTTCTTTCCTTCCATTCTCTTTTTTCTTCCTCCCTCCTTCCCTCCCTCTCTCCCTCCCTCTCTTTCTCCCTTCTTCCCTTTCTCCCCTTCCTTCCTTTCTTCCTTCCTTCTTTCCTTCCTCTCTCCCTCTCTCCCTCACTCCCTCCCCCTCTCCTCTCTCATGGCTTTGTGCTCATGGGTGATGCTTAGGTGCTAAGGGGGCTATATGTGGTACTAGGGATCAAACTAAAAATATTATCTGGTATATACTCCAAATTTTTTTTCCAATTTATAATTTGCACATGATGTTCTAATGACCTAATTTTTTTTAAATGTAGGAGTACTGCTATTTATTCAGCCACTGATTAGGCTGATTGAATTGTGCATGAACTCCACCTTACTTTTTAAAATTTTTTATAATTTTATTTATTGAATCACCATGAGCAGTTACAAAGCTTTCAGGTTTAAGTCTCGGTCATACAGTGAAACACCCATACCTTCACCAGTGCCCATTCTCCACCACCAAAATCCCCATTATACCCCCATCCCACACCCTCCCCCTACCTGTGGGGCAGATGATTTCCAAATTACTCTCTCTATACTTTGATTACATTAAACATTTTGACACCAAACTCACCATTATTATTTGGGATTTTACCCCAACACTCAGATCTGCCAAAAAGGCAACAGTAGACAATTTGTTTTCTATTGCTGGTTATGAATAATGTATGATGTTGCATGGCTGCAGTAGTGGCCGTGCAATTTTGAAATTCTGAAATTTTAACACTTAAATCTGGAGGGATTTCTTGCCAAAACCTGCTGTGTTCCTAGATTTGTTCCTGAGTCTCTGGGATCATGGCCATTAAGCAGCTTGATCAGGAGCCAGAGAGGCCATTCATGGGTGTCGACTCGGGGTCTTGTTGGGACAGGGAGGAAAGGGCCGGCTCCACCCCCATCCCATGAGGCCCCATGTGTCTTGTCACTGCAGGCCCAAACCTGACTGTCCAGTGGCCTCTGGAGGATGACGGCCACCTGGCCACAAGGGGAAACAGCCCAAGGCACAAAACCAATTCCCACCTGGGGTGGCCCAGCACCAGTAGCCTACTGCAGGGTCTGGATGCATTTCTGCCAAAAGCCATTGGGTTTCAAGATTTGTTTCTGAGTCTCTGGGATCATGGCCTTTAAGCAGTTCAATCAGGAACCAGAGAGGCCATGCCTCCAATTATATAGCTGAGCCCAAGTTGGTTTGTGGGTGTGTCTCCCACATACCTAACATTTGGCCGTTTACTTTTTTGGTAAAGTTTGCCTCAAGTTTTTCGGGTCTGTCCAAAGACACAGCAGCAATTTTGGGATATCTGGAAGTCTGAAGGAACCATGAGGCTGCTGATGCACTTGCCTCACAGGTACAGATTGACCTGCTGGTGGCACCATACCCCCAGAAAATTTTGAATTTTAAATAGACATACTTTGGGGAAGGGGCCTCCTAAGTAGTGCTCAGAGGTTCTGAGCCCTCCTAGTGATACTCCCAACTGGGCTGGAGGTTTTGCGTCCAGGCTCACGGATGCAGTGCTGATTGAGGCCTGCAGTGCTGGGGGGCCCCAGGGCCACCCCACTCGTGCTTGGGAGGGTATATGGTGCTGGGGTTCAAAACAGGGTTGGGCTGAATCCCTGTATCATTTACTTAGCCCCAGACTTAATTTTTTCAGAGCAACTTTAGGTTCACGGGAAAAATGACACTAAATCAAGAGTTCCCACATAGCTCTTCTTGAACCCTCCACCTTTCTTCTCCTATTAACATTTTGCATTTGTGTGTTATGTTTGTTACACTAATGAATGAACCAATACTAATATATTAGTATTCCTAAAGCTGTAAGATGCATTTGGGTTTCCTCTGTGGTATCATACAGAATTTCATGGCCATAACGCGTCCCCTCTTCCTTCTCCCCTCCCCCCGGGATCCATCTATTCACATCCTTTCTCTCCAAAGTCCCTCACAGGCACTGTTCTTTTCACTGTCTCTGTGGTTGGCTCTTTTGTGGGAATTACACAATGGAAAACTCTTTTGTGGGAATTACACAATGGAAAACTTTCACAGATTGGTTTCTTTTGGTTTCCTTTTCTTTTTCTTTTTGGGTCACACCCGATGATGCTCAGGGGTTACTCCTGGCTCTGCACTCAGGAATTACTCCTGGCAGTGCTTGGGGGATCCATATGGGATTCTGGGGATTGAACCAAGGTCTGATGCATGCAAGGCAAACGCCTATCCACCATGCTATTGCTCCAGCCCCAGATTGGCTTTTTTTTTTTTTAGTGAAACACCATGAGGTACAGTTGTAGACTTACAAACTTTCATACTTGGGTTTCAGTTATACAATGATCGAGTACCCATCCCTCCACCAGTACCCATTCTCCACCACCAATGATCCCAGTAGCCCTCCCACCCCCAAACCCCATCCCCCTACCCCACTCTGACTCTGTGGCAGGGCATTCCCTTTTGCTCACTCTTTCCTTTAAGATGTTGTAGTTTGCAATAGAGGTTTTGAGTGACTTTTGTGTTCAGTCTGTAGTCTACTTTCAGCATGCATCTCACATCCCGAGCGAGTCCTCCAAACATCCTTTATTTCGTGTTTCCTTCTCTAGCTGAGCTGCCTTTCCCCCTAGCATGTGAGGCTGGCTTCCAAGCCCTGGAGCAGACCTCCTGGTACTTCTCTCAATTATTCTTGGGTGTTCAACTCCCATTCTGTTACTTTATATTCCCCAGATGAGTGCAGTCTTTCTGTCTGTCCCTCTCTTTCTGACTCATTTCACATAGCATGATACTCTCCACGTAGAACCAATTGTATGTAAATTTCATGACTTCATCTTTTCTAACAACTGCATAGTATTCGATTGTGTAGATGTACCAGAGTTTCTTTAACCAGTCATCTGTTCTCAGGCCCTTGGGTTTTTTCCAAATTTTGGCCACTATGAACAGTGCAGCAATAAACATAGACGTGCAGATGTCATTTTGAATGTACTTTTTTGCCTCTCCGGGATATATTCCTAAGAGTGGTATTGCTGGGTCAAATGGGAGCTCAATTTCTAATTTTTTGACAACCTTCCATACTGTTTTCCAAAAGGGTTGAACCAATTGGCATTCCCACCAGAAGTGAAGGAAGGTCCCTTTCTCGCCACATCCACGCCAACACCAGTTGCTTTTGTTCTTTTGGATGTGGGCCAGTCTTTGTGGTGTGAGATGATATCTCATTGTTTTGATCTGCATCTCCATGATGATTAGTAATGTAGAGCATTTTTTTCATGTGCATTTTTGCCATTCGGATTTCTTCTTTGAGAAACTTTCTGTTCATTTCATCGCCCTATTTTTTGATGGGGTTAGATGTTTTCTTCTTGTGGAGTTCAACCAGTAATTTGTATATCCTTGATATCAAACCCTTGTCAG